AAAGCTGGTCCACCTGGTTCCAGAACAGGGATTTCTGGGTCCTTTGTGACGATCTGAATGTGTTCGGGGTTGGGGGGGGGGTCCCTCACGTGAGTGCTGTGTGCCACTTTCTCATGTTCGATCATTCCATCAGAGTCTGCATCTGGCCAGGCCATATATCTGCCAGGTTCTGTTCTGGCCTGCATTCTGATTACAGTTCTGTGATTTACTGATATTCCTCCCCTCTTAGATATTTTTCTCATCTCAGATTGTTTTTGCTTTCCCAAAACTTCAACTAGCTGGGCATGATTTTATTTTCACATGACAGAAAACGCAACAAAATGTTCCTTTTGTTGTATGTTTGTGTGCATACACGTGTGTGTTCATGTATGTATGAGTCCATGTGTGTGCATGTTCATACATGTAGAAGCCAGAGGACAACCTGGGGTATCACCCTACTGTTCTTGAGACAGAGTCTCACACTAGCTTATAACTTGCCATGTATGCTAGGCTGGCTAGTGAGTCCTAGGGATCTGCCTCCCCAGTGCTGGGATGACAAGGGCAAGGGTATTCCATCATGCCTGACTTTTTTTCCCTTTTCTTCACCACCCCAGGGGTTCTGAAGATTGAACTCAGGTACCTGTGCTTGCAAGGCAAGTTCTTTATTGATTGAGCTAACTCCCCAATCCCTGAACTGGTCTGAACTATAAAAGAATATATTGGCTCAGTATAGTTAATTAACAACAAAGTACAGAAAGAAGATAGCCCTGAGTATGATCTGTCTAGGACCCTGCCTCTGTTTCTTGATTATTCTCTAAAATCCACCTCCCTCTGCCTGTATTAGTTTGGGTCCTTGGACGGTGTTGTCATTTGTGGTAGCAAAATGACCATCAGCTACCACAAGATGACATACGTACTTTGCCCAGGCATTGGGCAAACATCTTGACCTTTGCTTTGATCAGGTCATACTCTACCCTCGTCACTGTGGCCACGGGGAAGTCACAGGGAGAGGAGAGGAACCCTCTTCAACTTTGGCCTCAGAGCCAAGCAGATTCTTCTGGAAGAATGTGAGGAGATGCTTATGTGTGTGTTAAAGTCAACACAGAACACAGAAGTCTAGCATAGAAGTTACCATATTTAATACAGTGTTAAGACAGCATCATGAAGACCCCCATCTATCGCCAGTTGCCTGTCGTCTAGGCTTCACCTGTCCCAATCGTCTTTGTGGCACTGAGTGTTCTCCTAGAATGGAGAATGCTTTCCTGTTAGAATAGTGTGCTTGGTGTAAGCAGAAGCAGTCATGAGTGGAAAACCAAGGCAGAAACTGCATTGGGTGGGCTGACTCGCTGGAACTCTTTCAAGCGGGAAAGTTTCATTCCAAGCTCTCTGTGCCTTTCCAGGGAAATGTTCTTTCTGACTTCGAGGTAAGAGATTCTTTCAACCTCCATCCTCCAGGTCTATCTTCCCAAGGAGGCTATTTATTTACTCACTATTTACTTATTTATTGGTTTTTTTTTTCTTTTTGAGACAGGGTCTCCCTGTAGCTCCAGTTGGCCTGGAACTCACTATGTAGGCCAGGTTGGCCTTGAACTTACAGAGATCTGCCTGCTTGCCCTCCCTAGTCAGTGCTGGGATTAAAGGTGTGGGCCACCATGCCTGGCTTTACTATTTATTTTTAATTTTGGTTGTTTGAGACCAAACTCGCACTAGGTAGCCCTGGAACTCCCCAGGCTGGTCTCAAATTTTCAGTAATCCACCCCTCTGTCTTCTGAGTGCTGGGATTATAGGTGTGCACCAACTTGCTTGTTTTAAAACTGTTTTTTAGCCGGAACCGGGCTTGAGTGTCCCTTCTGTTATTCCCTTGCAGGCCGGCTCTGCCGTCGTCTGCTGCCCCCGTGTGGTGAAATTCTCCCTTCTGGGTGATTCCATTTGTTCTTGTTTTGTTTTGTTTTCAGCGATAATATAAGATTTTTTTTTTAAAGGAAAAGTGAGAAAAAAACAAAAAAACAACCCCCCTCCCATAATTCCGAGAAAGGAAGGGGCTCCGAGGGAGGAATACCCTCTTAAGATGTTTTGCTTCTTTTTTTTTGGTCTTTTGGAGACAGGGTCTCCCTGTAGCCCCAGCTGGCCTGGAACTCACTGTGTAGACCAGGCTGGCCTTGAACTCACAGAGATCCGCCTGCCTCTGCCTCCCTAGTGCCGGGACTACAGGCATGTGCCACCAAACCTGGCTGGTGTTTTGCATTTTAGACCGCACAGTTTCTGCCTGTATCCTAATGTTTCCTGCCGCAGGAACTGCCTTCTCTTTAGATGACTAACGGGGTGGTGGTGAGGGTTGATGCCCCTTCCCTTCTGGGACTACCCCATTTAAGTTTTTTCTAGTCTAGGCATTAGATGCCAACAATCCAGCATCAGTTGCCCCAGGCAATTGTCTCTTTATACTTCCTACCACTTTTTTTTTCTCATGTATTCCAGGCTGGCCTTGAATTCAATATGTGGCTGAGAATGACTTCGAACTTCTGACCCTTCTGCCCCTACCTCCTCAGTACTGGGATCACAGGGGTGTACCACCCTTTTGGTGCATGTGGTGTGTGTGTGTGTGTGTGTGTGTGTGTGTGTGTGTGTGTGTGTTTGTGTGTGCGTGTGGGGTGTATGCAGATATTTGTGTGTGCATGTGCAGAGGCCAGAGAAGGATGTCAGGTGTCTTGTTCTATAGGCCTCTTCCTTATTCCCTTGAAATAGGGTCTTTCCTGAACCTGGAGCCAGGCTGGTGGCCAGGAAGCCCCAGTGATCCTCGGGTTTCCCTGCCCCATCCCCCACAGCACTAGGCTTATTGGTGTGTACACGACCATGCCTGGCTTTTTATGTGAGTTCTGGGGATTTGAACTCAGGCTTGTGAAGTAAATGCTCTTATCTACTGAGCCATCTCCCCAGCCCTGGTGCCCATTTTTATACCGTGCTGGGGATTGAATCCAGGGTTTTGTGCATGTTGGACAAGTACTATCCTAACTGAGCTACAGCCCTCTTGCCACTATTTATAAATGTGAAGAGAATCCCAGGGGAGGCCACCGTACCTGCCAGTGGCACAACTGTAAGTACCAGTATTATGAGATGTTGGCATTTATGGGAGGGGCAGGATTTATACTTCCAGAGATTGGTGTTGACTTCAGATGACAGAGGAGGCTGGTAGGTGCAATACCAGCCAGGGAGACCAGCCCAGGTGCATGGAAGGGCAGCAGTCAGACATACCTTAGGTGTGAGAATGTGGTGCAAAGAGACGACTCTTTTGTACCAGTGGTCTATGCTCCATGAGTCACATGAGAAACGCCATTTCTTCTACAACCCTTGGCAGCACTTGCTATGTTTCCTGGCAGAGGCTAGACCCGAAGATGAACTGGAAAGGAAGCCTTTGCTCTCTAGCTGCTCAGTGTGTAAGGCAGGGGTCTGCCATGTAAACATCACTACAGCACAATGGGGTTCGTGTTATTACGGAGAAGGAGTTAAGAGTGTTCTAGTTTCATCTCCATTGCTGTACTAAAACACTCTAGCCAAAAGCAACTCAGGAGAGGAAAGTTTATTTCATCGTACAGGTTCTAGTCCAGCACTGAGGGAGGCAGGCAGGAATTCAGGCAGGGACTGTGAAGGAACACTGTTTGGCTCACTCAAAGGCTCAGGCTTAGCTAGCTTTCTTTTCTTTTCTTTCTTTTTTTTGAAACAGTGTCTCCCTATAGCCCCAGTTGGCCTGGCACTCACTTTGTAGACCAGGCTGGCCTTGAACTCACAGAGATCTGCCTGCCTCTGCCTCCTGAGTGCTGGGATTAAAGACATGCACCACCATGCCTGGCTAGCTAGCTTTCTTTTACAACCCAGGACCACCTGCCTAGGGATGGTGCTGTCCACAGTGGGCTTGGCCCTCCCATATCAACTAGCAATGAAGACAGCCCCCCTCCCCAACAGGCCAATCTAATCTGGGAAATCTCTCCCTTCTCAGATGACTCTAGGTCGTGTCAAATTGACAATTAAAGCTAACCAGGACATTGAGTCAGAAGAGTAAAGCCATGGGGCAGCTGTAAGCGCTGGGGGACAGCTCAGGCAGCTTCCCAGAGAAGCTATTCTTCATCACCAAAAGGGGAGCAGCTATAACATCATACCCTGCTGGTTCATCATCACTGATTACCCCAATCCTAATCATCTCTATTTTCCAGTCAGACTCCAGGGAAAGGAGTTACCATGTCCCCAAACCTCAGAGCTACTATAATCAAGAAATCATTGGAAATTATTATATAAAAGAGGGGGGTTGACCTTTCCTTCAAATCTCTACCACATGATCCCAAAGATGCATGTAGTGTAAGTGAAAAGGGTATGCTTGTAGCCAGGTATGGTGCTGCACAGGATCAGGAATTTAGTCATCTTCAGTTACATAGAATTCAAGGCCAGCCTGGGTTATGGAAGTCCCTGTCTAAAAACAAAAAAGGGGGCTGGAGATGTAGCTCAGTGATAGAGGACTTGTCCTGTAGGTCCTGGGTTCCATTTCTAGTAACACACACACACACACACACACACACACACACACACACACAATCTGCTCCAAACATAGGTTCAATGTAGACTTCTGACTCCCTCCCACCAGCTTGCCCCTAAGTTCCTCTCTGTATACTCTAAGTCTCTCCTATGGACTTCTGAAGTCTCTATTGTAGAAAGCCAAACTCTTATCCTTTTATTCCCATCAAGACAGTTGAAGAGCTTTCAAAGGTGATTTATTAGAGAACTTGGGGATAGTAAATGCTGGGAAATCCAAGAAACTGAAGATAATGAAAGTGATATTCTAGGGAGGGGTTCAGAGAACACACCTTAACCCTAGTTCCACACCTGGGTATCCCCTCTGGACCCCAGGAGCCTCTGATACCTTCGGGTCCCATGACTTTATCTATATCCCAAATGCAGAAATGGGTGGAGCTCCAAGGGGGCAGTGTGGTTTGGGGTGGTTTCTCTATTTCCTTTTATTCCTCTAGTTCCTCCGACTGTGAAGCCACTCTGGTCTCTGAGCCGCAGGCTTGGCACTGACTGAACATACCTGGCTGGTGTCTCAGGTAAGGAAGCCACTTCTGTGTGTCAGCACTTCTGGTGGGGTAGGGGGACTTGGTTAAATATTACTTTAGAAAATGCGCTGGTTTCTGTGGGACCTGAGGATTTCTGCTACCAGCTTCTGGTCTCCTCCCTGTGCTCTACCCTCCTACATGGTGTGGTCACAGCCTCCTCAACCTTTCCTTTCATTCCCTTCCAGTTATGTGGCTGAGGCAGACAATTCCCCAATTCAATATTTATTGCTTCCCTCTAAGCCCTTGTGTTCTGTGAAGATGCAACGCTGGCAGGGAGAGAACATTTTTAGATGTGGGGATGTGAACACACTTGCCCTAGGACCAGGCCAGCAAAGGCTTCTTTGTCTCCTTCTATTTACAGATGAGAAAATGAAAATCTGTAGGGTTTAAAGGCCCTAGCCAAGGTCACCAAGGAGAGAGTAGGCTTTAGGTGACAGTCTGCTCATTTCTGGTTAACTTCGAAGGGCTTCCAGACTGTTCTCTGAAGAGTCTTGAGTTGGGTAGAGGTTATTAGCAAATTAGTAAATTATTATTTACTTAATTAGTTGTGAGGTGTGTGTGTGTGTGTGTGTGTGTGTGTGTGTGTACATGTACCGTGTACAAACTTGTAAAGGCTAGAGGTTCAAGTTGAATATCTACTTTTGTCACTTTCCACTTTATTTTTTGAGACAAGGTCTCTCACTGTAACTGGAGCTCACAGTTTTAGATAGGATGGCTGGCCTTTGGAATTTGTCTCTGTCCACTCACCCTCCAGTGCTGAGGTTATAGATGTATGCCACAGGGCCCAGCTTTTTACATGGGTGCCAGGATCTGAACTCAGGTTCTCATGCTTGTCCAGCAAGCACTTTCCCAGCTGAGCCATCCCCCTAGCCCCTCCCTGGGTAGAGGCTCTTTAAGGAGTTTGAATGGAGAGAACAGAACTGTACCCCTCCCACCCGAGTGGTTCAGCTTTTTTCATCTCAATTTTATCATTTTTTATTTTAAAATATTTTATTTTATTTTATTTATTTTATGTGTATGAGTGTATTGCCTCATGCATGTTAAGTACCTGTGTCGTAACCCCAGTTCCAGGGGATCAGATGCCCTCTTCTGATCTCTGACAGCATTGCATGTAAACAAACATCTAATCCTCTAGTCAGAGAGGGCAGCAGACCAAAGAAAGAAGTCTACCCAAGTCCAGCTGGGTGAACCAATAAGTTTACTGAGGTCACTTACAGGAGCATGGGTGACGGCAAGGCAGCCGTACCACTAGGAAGTCCCACCCAGCATGTCCTGTTCACAGTGGAAGAGTCTTACCTGCAGTCACTGCTTTATCTTTTAGCACCACCACGAGTACCTACATTTTTGTTTTGTTTTTGAGACAGGATTTTACTGTCTAGCCCCAGCTGGCCTGGAACTTACTATGTAGACCATCCCAGGCTGGCCTCCCTCTTACAGCGATCTGCATGACCCTCCTCCTGAGTGCTGGAATTAAAGTCATGTGCCACTGTGCCTAGCTTACCTGCATTTTTATTTATTCGTTTTTGTTTTGTTTGTGGTATTGGGGATCCAACTCAGGGCCTTACATGTGCCAGTTTACACAAGCTTTAGCAATGGAGCCATATTCCTAGTGTATTATGCATACTAAAATTAATTAATTACTATTATTATTAGTGTGTGTATGATATGTGTGTGTATGTGAGTGTAGATGTGCATGTGGAGGTCAGAGGACAACTTCTGGGAGTTGACTCTTTCCTTCCACCATGGGTTCTGGGGATCAAATTCAGGTTGTCAGGCTTGTGAGGCAAATGCTTTTACCCTTTGAGCCATCTCAGTGGCCCTGCATGTATTAAAATTTTTCTTTTTATATTTACTTTTTTTTTGTGGGGGCGTGTGCCATTTGTATAGAGGTCAGAGGACAACTGTCAGGAGTCAGTTCTCTCCTTTTACCATGTGGGTCCTGGGATTGAATTCAGGTTGTCAGACTTGATGACAGACACCTCTACCCCCTGAGCTACCTGGATGGTCCCCTACATGTATTTATTTATTTTTGAGACAGGGTCTCACTATGTAGTGCTGCCTGACCTGGAATTCACTATGTAGACCATGATGACCTGGAACTCAGAGAGGATCTGCCTGCCTCTGCCTCTGCCTCCCACTCTCTCTCTCTCTCTCTCTCCACACACACACACACACACACACACACACACACACACACACACACACATACACACACACACATTTTAAAAGATTTTTTACTTAATGTGTATGAATTTTGCCTGCATGTATGTATGTGTACCATGTGTGTACAGGTGCCTGAGGAGACTAGAAGAGGGTGTTAGATTCTCTGGAGCTGGAGTTATAAGTAGCTATGAGCTGCCATGTGGGTGCTGGGACTGAACCTTGGTCCTCTGCAAGAGCAGCAAGTGTTCTTAACCTCTGAGCCATCTCTCCAGCCCCCTACATGTATTTTTGACATGATGCTTTCAACTATTGAAACTGGACATAATTTCACTGTAAGTCAAGGTGCACCATACAGTTTAATGCAATCTCATGGTATCACTTCTTCTCCCAGTAGATTTTGAGAAAGGGCTAGAGAGATGGCTAGGTGGTTAAGAGCAGATCCTTCTCTTGCAGAGGACTTAAGCTCATTTCCAAACACCCACATCAGTCAACTACAACCACCTGTAGCTCCAGCTCCAAGGGATCTTCTGGTCTCCAAGGGCACCCTCATACAAGCTGCGTACATTCACACAAACATATGCACACAAAATAAATTTCCTTTTTTGTCTTTTTTTGAGAAAGGGTCTCCCTGTAGCCACAGCTGGCCTGGATTTGCTATGGAGACCAGGTTGGCCATGAACTCGCAGAAACTGGCCTGGCTTTGCCTCCCAAATGCCAGGATTAAGGGCATGTGCCACCATGCCCAGCTAGAAATAAATCTTAAAAAAGAAAGGCAAACAAGAATGGGGGGACATATAAGAAATAAGGTAAAAAAGGACACACCCTAAAATGGCTTAGCTCCTTCAGTTTTTCTGAGTGCTGGCCCTCTCTTGAATGTGTAAGACCAACCTAGGGGAATGACTGAGGACAGAGAAGGCTAAAGGGAGACAGGGTAGGATTAGAGGTAGGGTCGTGAATTGTAGGGCCAGCTAAGAGCAAAGGTATCTTCCCTGGGTTCTATCTTATATCAGGCTGGGTCTCAGAGAATTTGGACAGCACTAGGAAGTCAGTTTCCATAGGAGCTCAAGTTGAAGGCAAAGGAGGTAAACTCTGGCTGTCACAGCAGCAGAGAGGCCAAGGCTACTCCATACTCTTTATGAGAATGACTATTGTCTGAGATGCTAAACCATATTTCTTTCCTTCTAACCTTTCACTAGATTGAACCATGACCATTCCTAAGCTGTTCTACTCTTTGGATACTACTGATGATATGTGGGATGACCTTGAGGATGAGTTTAATTTCACTGGCACGCTACCTACAGGAGACGAGTTCAGTCCCTGCGGAAACGTTGCTCAGCTAACCAACAAGGAAGCTATGGTTGTTGTCTATACCTTGGTGTTCCTGCTGAGCTTGCTGGGAAACTCCCTGGTGATACTGGTCATCTTATACAGTCGAGTGAACCGTTCTGTCACCGATGTCTACCTGCTGAACCTGGCTATGGCTGACTTGCTCTTTGCCCTGACCTTGCCCTTCTGGGCTGTCTTCCATGTGAAAGGCTGGATTTTTGGCACACCCCTGTGCAAGATGCTGTCACTCCTGAAGGAAGCCAACTTCTACAGTGGAATCCTGCTATTGGCTAGCATCAGTGTTGACCGCTACCTGGCCATTGTCCATGCCACTCGAACACTGACCCAAAAGCGCCACTTGGTTAAGTTCATATGTCTGGGCATTTGGGGACTATCTTTCATTCTGTCCTTGCCCTTTGCCATCTTCCGTGAGGCCTATGAATCATTCGGTTCTGGAACAGTCTGCTACGAGGTCCTGGGTAAAGCCACAACAAATTTGCGAATGGTGCTGCGTAGTCTGCCTCACACATTTGGCTTCCTCCTGCCACTGCTGGTCATGCTGTTCTGCTACGGGTTCACTCTGCGCACGCTCTTTAAGGCCCACATGGGGCAGAAGCACCGGGCCATGTGGGTCATCTTTGCTGTTGTGCTGGTCTTTCTGCTCTGCTGGCTGCCCTACAACCTGGTCCTGCTTGCGGACACCCTCATGAGGACCCATGTGATCAAGGAGACCTGTGAGCGCCGCCATGACATTGACCGGGCGCTGTATATCACTGAGATCCTGGGCTTTACCCACAGCTGTCTCAACCCCATCATCTATGCTTTCATTGGCCAAAATTTTCGCTATGGATTCTTCAAGCTCCTGGCTACCCATGGCCTGGTTAGCAAGGCATTTTTGGCACGCCATCATGCTTCCTCTTCTTCCTCTATCACTTCAAACCTCTGAAAACCACCAGAGAAAGAAGAGCTCATTTTCAAAAGAAAGAATAAACATTGTGCCAAGGGTGTGTGTGTGTGTGTGTGTGTGTGTACTCTGGCTCTGGACAGATGCTATGTGGTTTGGGAGGGAGGTGACAGAATCAGGAGAAGTTGGAGACTAATATCTTCAGGGCCCACACCTACTTTCTGCGGGAGTGTTGATAGCCCGCCAAGGCCTGGCTTTATACTTTCATCAGAAAGAATGTCACCATTTCTACTGAACTCATACATGTTTGACCCATGACTTTGAAAATTAACATGGGCACATCTGTAGCCTAACCCTGGCGTTAGAGCAAAGAACTGGGGCCTGCATCTGGCATTAGCCCATCTGAAATTATGTGGACTCTCTTTGGAACAGCACCCCAACTGCTAAGTTTGTTCCAGCAGGCTGTCTGGCAGCTCTGTGTCCTGCGATATGAACTCTTGAAATTGTTTTCCTTTCCCATCTTGGGGAATGTTGCAATGCCTGCTGGGGCCATCAGGTCAGGTGCTGCTGAAGCATCAAGTCACCAGGCAACCTTGTGATGGAGCTGGAGAGCATCTTCCCCTTAGGAGTTGTGGGTGGGCAAAGGGTATTTGGGAAGTCAGACCCAGTGCACGAGAATCCCCTTTCCCCCACGGCCAGCGTCACAGAGGATGATGTGCATGTTGGGTACCCGCTGAGCCAAGGATGGAGCAAGACTAGCAGCTGTAGCCCTTGCCCTCTTGGCACTTCCTGTTTGATAGGGTGCAACAGCAACTTTATATATCCACATACAACTGTCAATCAGCTGGACAAGCCAGCTGGTTCCAATAAAATTTCTGCCCCATGTTTGTCTGTGTGAAAGTCTCTTTGATGTGACATAGAGTTAAAGGTGTGTGTGTGTGTGTGTGTGTGTGTGTGTGTGTGTGTACGTGTAGTGGATGGCTGTTCTCTGCATCTGTGGGCTGGTGGCTTTACCTCCTTCTAGAATAATCCCTGCAGGCACAGCCTCATGCTCATCCTTACCCCTCACACTCAATAGGTTCCCTTTGTCCCTCATATGTGAAGGTATCGTCCCTGCAGAGAGTCTAGCCTCACCTCTACTTAACTCTCCTGGGGAGACCTGGCCTGGCTCCTTCAAACTGTGTTTACTTCCCCAGCCCCAAATGCTTTCAGAGAATTGCAGCTATTTCCTCACCTGTTTTCTCTCCTGAGCGAAGGCCTGAACCTGTCTGTTTTGTTTACTCTTCATCTTTGGTGTTGGACACTCGGTTTGGAGCCCATTACAGCCTCAATAAATATTTACTGACTGAATGAATGGCACTAAAAATCCCAAACTCAGTCACTCCCTGTCCATTCTCTCCCTTTCACACTTCCGCTGACCTGGTCAACCATTTCGCTCCCCAAGTTGGCCTTTGTGGTTACCTTCATTCTGTTTTTAGTTGTATAGAAAGAAGGGAGTATTGAGGATATCTGGGCTTCCTTTGATTGCTAGTGGTAGAAAGAGCAACTCCTACCAGCTTAAAGCTAAACTGCGCAAGTGCTGATGTTGAGCTTCCTGGTGGGATTTCAGTCAGAGCTGAGGTTGGGATCAGGTTGGAGTCAAGGCTGGAGGGTTATAGGGCTGGGGTGACAGACAGTTTGGCATAAAGTAAGGTCAGAGAAGGGTGAATGTCAGGAGTAGGGAGAGATTCAGCCATAGAGGAGACTGTGGGTGGGGAAGTGAGGCTTAGTGGCCGGACCTGGTGGGGATTGGAGGCAGGGAAAGTCCATCTGGGACCAGGTTGGGACTGGGGGGGAAGCATAGGGATGGGGTGAGGATGGGAATATGGGGAGGTTTAGGGAGGGTTGTCAGAAATGGAATGGATGTCAGAGATGACTGGAGTTCTTTCTCCCGAGTGCGGGGATTAAAGGCATGCACCACCACGCCCAGTCTCTGAGCTGATTTTTAAGGAACCTATTCAGTAGATAGCTTTTTAGTTTTGGTTTTAAGGTATCTATTTTGTTTGCTTTGAAAATATTTTTGTTTCAACATTCAGTTTATTATCATTTTTTGGTTGCTTTCAGGCCTCTGAAAGCATGTT